GTTCTGGGTTTTTGGGATGTTCTGGGCCAGTTTTTTGGAATATTCTGGGCTGCGTTTTTTGAGATGTTCTGCTTTTTTTGGGATATTTAGGGCTGGGTTTTTTGGGATATTCTGGGCCGAAGGGGGGTTGGCCGGGAATAACCCGGGGCTGGGGGGTCCCCTCCTCACCCTAAAGGGGTTTTTGGGGTCTGGGATCCCCACAGAGTCCCGGAACTTCAGCAATGACCGCATGGTGTGCAAGGAGATCCGACGGAATTCCGCCGGCTGCCTCCGGATGAGGGACGAGTGCGAGAAGTGCCGGGAGATCCTGGCCGTGGGTGAGCTGGGAATGGGATGGGATGGGATGGGATGGGGTGGGATGGGATGGGATGGGATGGGATGGGGTGGGATGGGATGGGATGGGATGGGGTGGGATGGGATGGGATGGGATGGGATGGGATGGGATGGGATGGGATGGGATGGGCACACCAGGGCTGTGCTGACTTCCTGCCATTCCCATCCTTTCCCAGATTGCAGGGAAGGCTCCCCATCCCAAGGACATCTCTGGGATGCACTGGGATGTGATGGGATGCACACCTTGAATCTGTGCTGATTCCCTGCCATTCCCACCCTTTCCCAGATTGTGGACATCTCTGGGATGTGCTGGGATGCCCGGGACGGGGCTGTGCTGACTCCCTGCCATTCCCAATCCTTTCCCAGACTGCGGGCAGGGCTCCCCGTCCCAGGGACAGCTCTGGGATGTGCTGGGATGCACACCCCGAGTCTGTGCTGACTCCCTGCCATTCCCATCCTTTCCCAGACTGGAGGGAAGGTTCCTCTTCCCAGGGGCAGCTCTGGGATGTGCTGGGATGGACACACCGGGGCTGTGCTGATCCCTGCCATTCCCATCCTTTCCCAAACTGCAGGGAATGTTCGACTTCCCAGGGACATCTCTGGGATGTGTTGGGATGTGCTGGGATGTGCTGGGATGGACACACCAGGGCTGGGCTGATCCTTGCCATTCCCAATCCTTTCCCAGACTGTAGGCAGGGCTCCCCATCCCAGGGGTAGCTCCAGGATGTGCTGGGATGTGCTGGGATGTGCTGGGATGTGCTGGGATGCACACCCCGAGTCTGTGCTGACTCCCTGCCATTCCCATCCTTTCCCAAACTGCAGGGAATGTTCGACTTCCCAGGGACATTTCTGGGATGTGCTGGGATGGACACACCAGGGCTGTGCTGATCCCTGCCATTCCCAATCCTTTCCCAGACTGCGGGCAGGGCCCCCTGTCCCAGAATCAGCTCCAGGATATGCTGGGATGTGCTGGGATGCACACTCCGAGTCTGTGCTGACTCCCTGCCATTCCCATCCTTTCCCAGACTGCAGGGAAAGTTTCCCTTCCCAGGAGCAGCTCTGGGATGTGCTGGGATGGGATGGGATGCACACCCCGAGTCTGTGCTGATCCCTGCCATTCCCAATCCTTTCCCAGACTACAGGGAATGTTCCCCTTCCCAGGAGCAGCTCCAGGATGTGCTGGGATGTGCTGGGATGGGATGCCCGGGGCAGGGCTGTGCTGATCTCTGCCATTCCCACCCCTTTCCCAGACTGCAGGCAGGGCTCCCCATCCCAGGAGCAGCTCCGGGATGTGCCGGGATGTGCTGGGATGGGATGCGATGGGATGCCCAGGGCGGGGCTGTGCTGACTCCCTGCCTTTCCCACCCCTTTCCCAGACTGCGGGCAGGGCTCCCCATCCCAGGGGAAGCTGTTCCCAGGGGGAGCTCTGGGATGTGCTGGGATGCACACACCAGGGCTGTGCTGACTCCCTGCCATTCCCAATTCTTTCCCAGACTGCGG